ATTTTCCTTCTTCATTAGAGAGAAATATCGTTGAGATCAGTGACCCTAAATGTTTCTTCCAGTAAATCAGCTGTATTAAATTATTTCAATTTTCCCTGACTTTCCCCTGACCTTGAAGATTTTTTCCCCTGACCATTTCCTGACCTGTGGCAACCCTGATCTGGTGCTCCTCGCGAGAGCTATTTTGGGTGGCTGGAGAAGGGAACTCCGGCGCGCCTTTCTTATGATCGAGAGTTATCTGAAAGTGATCCTACATCCATGGAAGTTTTCAGGGACAACGTTCATCTCAGAAGGGTTACATGTAGGGTGACATACTGCAAGCTGTGTTATCAAACAAATATAAGCTGGTTTTCACATTGCCTGGCCTTACTAACCAGTGGGTCAATGCGACTCCACCCAACAACATTTGATAACTGTGACGCACAGCTCCGCGAAAAAAAAACTGCCGGTCGACTGCTGGTGGACTTTAGGACGACTGACGACTGACTTTTCCTTACTAATGAAAACCTCAGCTGTCAACAATAGATTTCCGAGACATGTTTGATCTTAGCAAGTTGCATACTAGAGAGGCAATAACTATGCAACCATTTTTCTCGTTTTATAGCTCAAACGCTTTGCTATTGGTCAATTTCCAAACTCATTTTATTGGGTGGACTTGCTTGGAATAGTTACACTATAACAAAACAAAATTTTGATCCCAATATTTGAACAACTGGAGCCTGCTAGACAGACCAAGCGTGGCATCAAGCGTGGGGTCGCGACACGCAAGAGGTACATGCGCACCTCTATCCCAGATGTGATTTAACAGTGCTTAAAATGTCCGACANATAAAGGTTTGAATGAGGTTTGTCCTCTGATTCAGATTCTGTCAATAATTTACTAAAATAACAATCAGTTGTACTTGATTGATAAGGAACACAAGATGGCAAAAACTCTAGAAAAAAACATGTAGGCATCAGCCTCAAGGATGAATTAAAGAACACAACTTAGTTGTTTTACAACAATCTGGTCTACTTCTACACAATGTTCCTTTTTTCCAAAGGAAAATTTTACTTCAGGTCTGTAAGACACCATTACAAATAACAAATACCGGTAGCAAAAAAAGACATATGTTACACAGATTTTTATATAGCTACATGAAGGTTTATATTACCTGTATTTATATCAGTTTTGATCTGAATTACATATGGCATTGATTCCTTGTTGAAAGGGAGTCCACTGCAGTCTTCATCTGTCATGTACTTGTGAAGGTCAGAGCTGACAGTCATGGAGTCAACTGATTCCTTTCCCCATGGGAAGGTATACTGCAAGAGGTCCAAACATGGAAAATTAACAAAATACAATGATCTTCCGAGGTAATCTCATGACAACAAACTGACAAAAGGGAACTGGTTGCTGCTCCTTGGAAGCAAACAACAACAACAGCAACAACTTGAAGCACAGATGAAGGGAAGGACATAATAATTTGAAACTAATAAATTTGATCAAATTGCCATTACATTTCCCAAACAGCCTATCTATTAAAAGTCTTCTAAAACAAACAACTGCATTATTCTTTCCTATAAACATTGGCGTTGCAATGATAGCAAACAAATAAATAACAAGTACATGTATTATATATGGGAGGTGCAATGGCCTCTTGGTTAGTGCACTCAACTCCGGGGTGAGCAGTCTGGGTTCAAGCCCTGGCCAGGGACATTGTGTTGTGTTCTTGGGCAAGACACTTTACTCTCACAGTGCCTCTCTCTACCCAGGTGTATAAATGAGTATTGGCGAATTTAATGCTGGGGGTAACCCTGCGATGGACTAGCATCGCAACGCAACTTTTTGCAAAGCTTAAAAAATTCTGCAGTAGCTCAGCAACAAATTATTAGTTAGTAGAAATAAATGATGCATGACTTGATGTAAGTGCTGCTCTATGACTGTGAAGCATGCCTTACCTGTATAGTGGTCTGATGGTTTACACCAGGTTCAAGATCCATTTGTTCTTCATTAAGACTGAAATTAGAGCGAACATTTGCAAATTTTCTCCACCACACAAGTCTCTGTCTCTTCCAGTGATTTGTCCAATCATTCACTTTGTTTTCAGCACAAAAATACTGAAGGGTCATGACTTCCCTCTCACAAGACCTGTACATTGCAAGGGACTACAAAGTCAACCAAAAGCTTTCAATCATTGTATAAGAATAAGGTGACAAGTCAAAGCCTCTTGCACATTATTGGTTGATCTGAAACAACTATATAACAATAGACCAACAGACTGTATAGCTTGGGGTCTTTGAGAAACGAGTTACAATTTGAGCTGTGAAGTTAAGCCACAACAACAAAGGGGCCAATTACCCCAGTACATTACAGTGCAGTCAAACTCTGTTAATACAGGGAACATGTAAAGGATCCTTACACTTTTATCAAGGTTCAGGCACCAATGCATGTCAAGGAAAGTTCTGAATTGCCATGAAGCTATCTCAAAACTGGTCAGTGTAAAACACAGACTGCAGACTGCAGACCAGGGGTAAAATACAGACTGAGGGTAAAATGCAGACTGCTGACTGTAGATTTTTTAATTAGTCATGTTACCATTTCCATCATTGAGAGCTAACTGTAAACAAGCTAACCAGAGCATTACTCAGGCTAACCTGAGAGATATTCAGGCTAACCGGAGTGCAGACTTTCACTATGATTACCCTGCATAGCCCTGTTTATGGTTAGCACTCGATAATAAATATAAAATTATATATACGTTAAAAGTCTGTAGTCTGCAGTCTACATTTTACCCCTAGTCTGCAGTCTGCAGTTTACCCTCGTCTGCATTTTACCCCGATCTGCAGTCTGTAGTCAGCGTTTCACACTGACCGATCAAGAAGCTTTCAGATGATCGATGATCAGCAAAATATCAAATACCTAAGGATGTAATTATCACTCTCAGGCTTCCTGAAGTATTTTCTGTTCCATGCAGCCCCAAAAGGCAAGTTAATTCCAGGAATAACCCTAAAGAACTGCGTTAGAGTGCTAGCATTTTCGCTCAGACGTGCTGCAGTTCTCTCGCTAGTCGTAGACGTTTCATAGGGAGCTTGGATAATGAGTTCACTTGTAGTTTCAAAACCATAGACATTACCCTTCGATCTGACCACATCAAACCACCAAGCATGTCTCAAGTTACGTCGCAACTCTGTACCAAGCGGTCCAAACTGGTAAGTACATGTTGTTCCAAGTGAACTTTCAACGCGTGACTCCACTGAAAATCCTCGAGTTTCGCACAGCCTTATAACCTTGTCAACCAAGTTGCGAGACATGGCATTGCTCTCCCAGTACTATTTCTGTACGCATTCGATGTTACCATCTTACAAATGTAATTTCAAAGGGAGAGCGAGCAAATTGGCATTATATTTAGACTGAACTTTGTCAAAGGTGCTCTTCTTTGTCCGCCATTTTGCAATTCTATAGATTGAGACCGCTGACATATCGAATCGCACTAGCGTCGCGCCTTCCCGTTTAAATTCCCAGCAACCAATCAAAATCACTCTTTTACTTCGCTAAACCAATCAAATGACAGCTTTTTTCGAAGACGGCTTCACGTGAATCCATGAACAACATCAAAGAAGAAACAAGATGGCGTAGGGTTGCTTGGTAGTTTTCATGGCCGTGGTAAGTACCTCGAAACTCTACCATTCCGTTGAATTTTTTTCCGCAATGAAACGTTGTTATGTCTTGCTTGATATGGACTGCACAATTTACGCAAAGAAACTTAAACAAAGAACTGTTGCTGGCAGGATAGAAGCTTAATATGCATGTGTGTTCATTTGGTAATTCGCTCATTCAAAAAGTCCATTTGACCGATCAACATAAAAGTTTACATCTGTAGAAGCTTGTTGAAGACTTCTAAAAGTTTTATGGACGCTTTTTCCATCTACCTATATAAAATGGACATCACAAGCTATAGAGAACGTTTCAAGAATTGATACATAGTAAACTTGTGTTTAAGTTGTCTTGATATATCCCGGCGTGATCAATCGATGGCAATCGATGACAATCGATAACAATTAATCGATTGATATCGGAAATCGATGGCCAATCGATGGACCAAAAATCTGTGTTTAATTATTATCGATTGCAATCGATTGCAATTGATTATCATCAATTGTTATTGATTCTCGTTGATTTTCATCGGTTGTCATCGATTGCCATGGATGGTACCCTTTAATTACCACCTGGTTGATGGTCAAAATAACTTGACACATATTTCCCTGGGCTGTTTGTGCAAAAGTCACCGGGAACATACGTGACCGCAACCCAAACTGAATTACCCGTGGGTAGATTATTGATCAAGATTTGATCAAAAACAATCTGCTTGACAGCAAACGATAGTCAATAATAATCAATGGCAACTGAGGAATCAAGCTTGTGATTATCGATAACTGGTCATCGATTGGCCGATAGCAATTGATGGTAGTTAACTTATTGTTTGATCACGCTGGGTTACGGTATATATGGATGCTGGTGAGGGCAGTCTTGACAATCTCACTGTACAGTCACACAGATTAAAAAGCTGTCTTTCTCAGGGTCGTTCCTACCTGGATGGCCCACAAGGCAAACTGCTGATATTTGTCGTGTTTATCCTGGGGTATATTTATATGGCACAATGTCAGACTCAAATTCATAATTTTACATAAATAATATAAGCTATAGGCTAAAGTTATAAAGTTTACTGTGTTTTAATAAACCTTGAGAATGTGTAGCTGGATTAGTTCAGTGTAAAGGTGTGTGAAAGAACAATATGTGACTCTTAGCTTAATTGTGTATTGAATCTTTTTCTCCCAACAATAAAAGTTCAAGTAAGGACAGGTTTACTTATTGCTCCATTACATGTATGTCATTGTGCATAGAATGTCTTTCATTTTAAATCCTTCACACAGGAACATCATTTACAAACAGAACAAGACTCACAAAATTGTATGCAAACGATAATGTTTAGGTACAGGGATTGCAGTTACATGGATTCATGCCATTCAACAAGTAGCATTCAATAGTTACTGTTCTGTCTTATGAAGTAACTCCTTTTTATTCTTCTAGTTTCCTAACAGGGTTTGTTACTGGTGCCTATGCTGACAAAATTTGAAGTTTAGTTGCTGAGCATTTTGCTGTTAGTCAATAGAAAATAATAAAAATGGATCCTGAGACCACAGCAATACAGAAAATTCAAAGTAATGGCAACAGACCTGAAGAATGGCTGGAATTTTTGGCCCTGCAGCAATCGAAGACAGCTGCTGGTCTTACTGATGAGAGCTGTCGTCATCTACTATATCTCTATGAAAGAGCTGTGAGTCAGATTCCAGCTGAGGAAAATAAGAAGAATTTTTCCTATGCTCAACTCCTTGTGGATTTTGCAAAACTTCAAACGTTAGTGTCTCCTCAAGACCTGTAATTATTATTTGTTAACAGTCCAGTCGCCATGCTCAAGTGCATGCATTTAAGTTGAGATATTAATGTACACTGTATAATTACATAACAGAAATAGCACAAGAAGAAGAAGAAGCATTCTCAAAAACACTCTAGTGTTAACATATACATGTAGCAACAATGCTCAGGAGCAAGTTTACTGTTACTGACAGTGCCTTAACAAATTGCTCACTGTGCATGTTCAAACTCCAGTTTGTAACTCTGTCAAAAGATCGACCTGATGGTCATTTACTGATGCAATGTTTGGTAGGGTGTAAAAATTCTTATAAATTTGTGCAAAACCAGCACATTATAAGAAAAGTAAACTTTGTGATAATGATTTTGTTGTAACTGTTTGTTACAGGAGAGTATCTGAGGATGATGCAAGGAGTACATTCCAGTTGGCAAGAAGCAATGCCAAACACTTTGCTATTGTTTTTGTTGCTTGGGCTCAGTTTGAGCTTTCAACAGGTTTGAATCCAATTCTTCCTTTCATATTATATATTCATATATCCATATTAGTTATTTGCACATGAAAACTGAATCCTGAATGAGGGGTGTTTTTTTTAAATTAAATTTTGTGACCTAATCCACCTTACAGCTGTAGTTTATGATTACAATGCATGTAGAAATAAGTCATGTAACCTATATAAGGGTTAACCTGAATGAGGGGTGTTTTTTTATTTTGCATTTTTTGACCTAATCCACCTTAGTTTATGATTACAAAGCACATAGAAAGAAGTTGCATAACCTATATACCTGTATATACAACATACTTCACACAACAGATCAAACCTT